AAACCCTAAACCCTAAACCAGGATCTGGGGTGAGCGCCGCCAGAGGATGCCGGGGAGGTCGAAGATTGAGGTCGCCTAAGTTTAGGATCTAGGGGCTTTGGTGTTTGGGGTTTAGGGGTTTAGGGGTTTAGGGGTTTAGGGGGGTTTAGAGTTTGAGGGTTTTGGTGTTTGGGGTTTAGGGGTTTAGGTGTTTAGGGTTTAGGGGTTTAGAAAGTGTTAGGGGTTTAGCGGTTTAGGGGTTTTTAGAATTTAAAGGTTTTTAGTGTTAGGGGTTTAGGGGTTTAGGTGTTTAGAATTTGAGGGTTTTGGTGTTTGGGGTTTAGGGTTTAGGGGTTTAGGTCTTTAGGGGCTTAGGGGTTTAGGGGCTTAGGTGCTTAGGGGTTTAGGGCTGAAGCTTCAGGGTAACCAGGTTGGGCTTCGGGCTCAGGAAGCCAGGAAGCCTCAACTAAGTCAAATGTCGTGGGTTCAGGGTCTAAGGTTTAGGGTTTAGGGTTTACTGTTTAGGGTTCAGGGTTTAGGGTTTAGGGCTGTAGGGTTTAGGTTCCGGCACGGAACTTTTGTGGCTCCGGGCTTTTGTTCACCGGCTAGTTGTTCCTTCAATGGCTGCGTTGGATCTAGGTTTTGGAGCCAGACATTACGGCCTAGGCTTAGGTCTGAAGAGAACCTGCCCAGCATGAGGTCACTGAGACTTTTGGGATGCCAATGTCATGTGAGCAGTTCTCTAAATTAGGGTCCCCTCTTAGGGCCCCAGAATAGTACGGCACCCTTGTGAAAGGGACCCTAAAAGGGGCCCTAATTTAGAGAGCTACCCATGCAGAAGTTGCAGGAAATGGGGTCCCACTCTTTCGGGTCGGAGCTTCGTGCGCTACATACCAGAGATTCAACCAAGTCCCTGAATGCTCAACCCCAAACGGGAAGGGACGAAAGTAAACCCCAGAAAGCCTGCCGAAGCCGAGACCTCCCAAGCCCTCAAACCCCAAACCCTGGCTCCTCGACCCAAACATCTCAACACCAAAGCCTAAGCCCTGCAAAATCTACACCCCAAAGGCCAAATCAGTACAGTCTAGCATGAAGGCCACAAGAATTTGGTGCTGCTACACGGAAGATGGCTGTCCGAAGAAAGTCTATCTTAACCACATTCTATCAAGATTAACGGTGTTATACGGCTTCAGGCTTAGGAGTAACTGATTGGAGCTATACGTTATGATGATTGGCGCTACGCTGGCACCGCAAAAACTGCAACCCAAAACCCTAAACCCAAAACCCTAAACCCTAAACCCAAAACCCTAAACCTGAAGTGCCATCTCCGTGCTGCCCCGGGTCGTTCGTTCCCGGACCGTGCCGGACACAGATGCCTTTGTTGGTCGGCGAGCACCTGGGAAAGAGCACGTTCGAAGAGGTTGAAGCTTTGGGGGCTCGGGAGACATGCAGTTACCCTGAACCCTAAACCCCCATCCCTAAACCCTAAACCCCCATCCCTAGGCTCTAAACCCCCATCCCTAAGCTCTAGGGTTCAAAACTAACCAACCATCCCTCGCAAATGGCATGGCTGGGACAGTGCGAGCTTGCCTTCTCAGGGCCTTCAGTTCAGGATCTCTCTGTGAAAACTTTTTTTTATTTGTAAGCTTAAAATGTTACCAGTCTAGCTTTCGTAGAATTTTACTTTTGGGATTAAAATGCTACTAGTCTAGCTTTTTTAGATTATTTGAAACTGTTTGGGCTCAAAGTTTGGGGCATGGGACATGGAGGCGGAAGGAGTTCCCTGAAAATCAAGACCATCCATCCTGGACGGCTGAGCCCTCTGCTTTAGGATCCTTTAGAAGACAGGGTTGTTTGTTTTTTAAGTGTACTAGTCCCTTTCTCTCCGCAGAGACTCACCGCAAGGGCTTAGGGTTTAGGGGGGGTTTAGGATTTGAGGGTTTAGGGGGTTTAGGATTTGGGGCTTAGGAGGTTTAGGGTCTTACTTCTTAGCGGTCTACATCAGTATGCCTCTCCTTGCTACTGGCACCGCTGCAAAACCCTAAAGACTCAAACCCTGAAAGGGAGGTCCCTAAACCCTAAACCCTAAACCCTGAACCCTGAACCCTAAGTTGATGGTGCCGCTCCGGCTCGACAAGCTGCGGCTCCAGCTGCCGGGATCGAGTGTTGCCCAGAGACTCCAATACCCCTTGAT